ATGTACTATTTAGCACCAAAAAAAATTGACTTTTTAAAACTCCGGTTTAACCGCGGTATTTGACGCTTCTATTTGACTCTCAGATATGAAGTGCACCCCACTAATGTACTAATTTGCAGAATTCTTTCCTAAGCTGTCCCTCACAGCGGCAGCATCCTCTCCCTACACTAATAAGACCTCATGTGCGTGCGGCGCTACGCAACTCCAGCTTATATACAGAGGCTAGGTCACATGCTGCACTGGCCAATCACAGCCATGCCATTAGTAGGCATGGCTGTGATGGCTTCTAAGGGCACACGAGTCAAACGCTTGTTGATTGGCTACCCTGCAGCCTTTGACAACGCGCCATTAAATCGCCGAACACCGAACTCCAACCCGAACATACAGTGATATGTCCGTGTTCGGGTCCAAGGTCCAAAAGACGTAATGTTTGGTACGAACCCGAACTTTTCAGTTCGGGTTCACTCAACTCTAATGTTGAGTTAAAGTAATATTATGTTAAAATATCTAAAAAATAAATATTAAAAAAATTAACATTTAATAGCATCAGAGGCAGAGTATCAGTGTATATGCTGTAATGGCCCAAGTTTTAAAAGGTCTAATTCCACAACCTGCAAACATTTCAGAATTAAGTATTACAGTAATGCACTGAATAGTTTATTGCAACTAACACTTTACATATCAAAGAATGAGCTGCTTTCTTATCTCCCAAATCTCCTTTTACACTTACATTTAGTGTAAACAAATGGAGAGCTTTACCTTTGGCAACAGCCCACTGTCTACAGTTATCTCTAGATTAATCTTTCATTCAAAGAATACATTAAAGTGCATCTTTTTTGGGTAACATTGCAAAGCTTTATCTGTATGTTTCTTTATTTCAATAAAAGTATGTGTGTGTGTGTGTGTGTGTGTGTGTGTGTGTGTGTGTATTCTCAAATGTAAGTACGTGTAATCTGTACCATTTATTTATAACTCTCACCCTTCTAGTACCATATCCTGCACTATCAGTTTATTTTTCTCTTTCCCCTCACTCTGTGATCCTTACACAAAATATTTGCAACCCTCTGTAAGAATAGTATGTATTTCTTTGATCAGACCTGTGTATTATCTGTCACTTTAACCTCTGTTCCACAACTCAATTTTGAGTTATGTGTCGTTTTTGCTCAGAAATTTAGTAAACTTGAGAATGTGAGATTCCCCCAAAAGCTTGTCATTCGAAAATGAGTCCAATACATAAAAGAATTAAAAGATACAAACTTCACCTGTTATTTTACATCAGCATCACTGGACTAATACAGCTGCACTCTCTCTGGGGAAGAGTAGGTCAGGGCATGTTTTGTTGCACACTAAAAGTAAGTGTGTACCGTTGATTTGCTTACGGTATACAATGCCTGGGGGTAAAGGGCAACCCTGACCATAGTCAATGGTGTGTTTTATTACAAGTAGACACCCTTTGCCTATTGTCACAATATAGGATAGGGCACATTAGAAATGAAAGTCTGGGCATTATCTGGTATCTGCTGGTGTCACGTGTTATGAGCTAAATGATTTTGGGATCTTCCTTTTAAATCATTATACTTTTTCCCCTCTATCCATGCACCAGGGTACAGAGGGACTAACCGTCACATTTCAACATTTGGCCCAATAAGTATGTTTCCTATGTTTTCCATGCATTTGTAGGTCAGCACAGGTGGAATGCTGACTCTAATGCTTATTAGTCTTGGGCTCCGCCAAAATTTTAATTTCGTCCAAACACATTCGGGAAAAAAAATTTGGTTTCATCAGAAACAAATTTTGTTAATTTTGTTCAGTTTTTTTCTTTCGTTTAAAATTCAGATAAATGAAATTCTGCTCCTCTTCCTTAATTGGTACCCTTGTGTACTTTGCCATATTTAAGGGTACCAAATTAGGGAGCTGTTTAGTAGATAGCTCCTTTTTGTTATTCTTATGGCAATCCCACAAGGATTAGGAAGCTATCTACTAAGAAGCTGAAAGACCAAAATCATTTAAATAAATAAATAAATCCACCCTCATGCCCCTACCTGCCATGCCACAAGTAGGGACATGTGTACTAATCAGAGAGCAGCCAGTGGATTCTCACTGTTATAAAAAAAAAAACTAGCTGCCCAGTCACTAATCCCCTGGCACGACACCTACTAAAATAATTAACTGGGGGCGACATAGTGTCCACCCTGTTAAAATGAACAGGGTACCTAGAGTCTCAAGCCCCAATAAAATGAATGGGGGGACTTCCACCCCACACCCACTAGCATTAGCAGGTGAGGGCTCTAAAAAATAACAGGGGTCTTTAATGTAAGAAAGGGTAGGCCTATTGCCCCCCGAGCCCCCACCCATTGGCAGCTGGTGGGGGCTCTAAGTAATAAAGTAGGGGGGTGGTCCTATTGTTTATCCCCAGCCAGTGTCGTACCCATTTGTGGTGGGTGGGGGCCTTAAGTAATAAGTAGGGAGGTGGACCTTTTGTTTCCCCCAGACCGCACCCATTGGCAGTGGGTGGTGGCCTCTAAATAACAAAAGAGGATGGACCTATTGTCCCCCCTGCCCCTCACCACCAGGGACTCTAAATATTAAAGGTGTACACCTCTTGTCCACCACCATAAAACTTCTCTCCCTCCATTAACCCCCACACTGGTGACTAGAGGTACTCAAGCCCTTAGGGGTAGGTAGCATATTTTTTATGGGTTGTGGCTTTTGGCTTGGAGGCCCCTAGTCACTGTGGGGGGGATAGGTGCACCTATAGGTGGGGGCTGGAGGTGACAATAGGTCCATATCCGTTCTTATTTAGGGCTCTCACCCACTGCCAATGTGTGGCGACTGGGGGGGGGGACAATAGTCCCCCCCCCCAGTCGCCACACAGTTAAATCCCCTTTCATAATATTGTAAAGTGCTACGGAATCTGTTGGCGCTATATAAATGGCAATAATAATAATAATAATAGGTCCAACCCCCCCTTGACTTTTCACTGTATTATTAAGGGCTGCCACCTGCATCCAGTTGGTGGGCAGAACCTGTGTCCCCATTATTACTTTTAGAGCCACAACATGCAGTCAATGGGCAGGGGCTGGGGGAAACACTATGTAAACCCGTTCATTTAATTTAATAGCCCCCCAACCGGAGCACAGGTTGGTTGTACCGGGGACACTGTGTCGCCCCAGGTAATTATTTTAGCATGTGCCCCACCATGGGGGACCTGTGCCAGGTAACTCTTTATTGGAATAGCGATTGAGCCGCAAGAACAGATTGAAATACTGTCCAAACACAGAGCTTATAACATCAACAGATGATACCCACACACCTCTTTTAGATCTTGGCACAGACCAATAAGAGACATGTGGAATGAAAGTGAAGACTTTATTCAACTTGATAAATGCACAAAAAATGCTCCCCTCCCGATATCTTCACAATGTTTCTCTATGTTTTGTTCTAAATGTATTTATAATTACTATCCATTATAGTAGTATGGGTGCTATGGCGACTCTACGGAGGGGAGTTGCCTCCCCTAGGATATTCATTCTCCCCCACCTAGAGTGCCAATGCTGCTAATTAAACTTGGCAATGTAGACACCAGCCTACCCACATGGCAGGTTCCTACTCTGCCCAATATAATAACCCAATAAAATAGTGTCCAGTGGGGGCCAGGCATAAATGGGTGGTGAGAGAGGTAATGAGTCCTTTACTTAACGTGCTCTCCCTGCACAGTTCCCTCACGCTCCCTGTAGTGTGCCACCTGGCATCAGCATCACTAGAGGTCACACATGGTAAATGTGCAAGAAGAGCACTGTGATCCCACTATCCCCACTGTTCACCAGTGGGAAGATCCACTCCAGCCCTCCGAGAGCAATGTAGGGAGGCTGTGCTGACTTGTTAATAAATAATCAAATGGGTGTGTCTTTGTCTCGGATGTGTGTATGTCTGGAATTGTGTGTATGTCTATGATTATTTTTGTGTGTAGGTCTGTGATTGTGTGTATATGTTTATGTGATTGTGTGTGTGTAGATCTGCGGTTATGTGTGTATATGATTGTCTGTGTGTGCATGAAAATGTGCTTAGTAGTTTGTTTCCTTATTTGGTGGCTTTAAATATGGCAATACCACATAACGACACCAAATAAGGGAGGTATCTACTAAACTTGAAAATTAAAATTAAAAAAGGGGCTTTTCTCAAATTTTATTTTTTTAGCTCTTTAGTTGAAAACTCCTAAAATTGATACCCTAAATTGATACCCTGATAATTGATATAAGGATACCAGTGCACTGTTTAGTAGATATCGTCCTTAAATATAGCAATCCTGCATAAAAATATATATGGGAGTTATCTGCTAAACACTTGAAAGATTAAAGTTAACTGGGGTCATTAGCCAGCAAATGTAAATTTGGTGCATATTTGTTGAACAATGCCAGCATGCACAGTATGCTGGCGCCTGACAGCCAATGGCGGCAAGTTACCCCACCCTCCAGTGAAGATTATAGTGCCCCCCCCCTGTAATATCCTATATGCCCCCTTTGTACATTGTCCCTAGAGTCCCCGAAGAGGAGAGCATTGGCGGATTTTGAACGAGGAAAGCGTTTTGTGTTGAGGAGATTTAGAATTAGTTTAAAAGGGGCTTGGGGATAACGGGGTACATGCTTTTAAATGCTGTTGACTGTAATTCCTATAATTCTTAGACATTGTGTTTTTACATAAGTGTACCCCAATCTGTAATGATGTCCATTATTAGCACTATAACATAAAACCATACCCTTTATTCCATTATATATCTATATATATATTTTTATTTTTTATTTTTTTATTAATCCAACAAACCTACAACTGACAGTGGAATAAAATGTATATATTTGGTTGTTTTACAGAAAATGTATTTCAAAGACACTAAATGAATAGCAGAAGAGAGAACCAGGACAAACCTTGTTTACAGTACACGTTGGACCATTTCAAGTCACCTTCATGTCACCTTCAGCAAACACATAACAAACATTTGTGAGAACTAACTGGTTTGGGAAAGAGATCCCCATCTCTCCCCAGTCACAGCAGAACAGAGCCCTATATAAGGAGGTAGTGAGAGCAAGAGAGGGGGACACCAGGACATTGGATAGAGGACATCAAAAAGGTGAGCAACAATGTATTGTATTTATTAGACGTTCCGCTAGGTTTGGGCATATTTAGAAAAGTATTCTGGATTTTCAGTATCTTTACATACCCACAGCTACTGCTTTGGTTTGGATTTCTTTATATGTACCCCTGGTTACCGCTTTAGTTTGGGTATTTTTATGTACCCCCATACTGCTTCTTTAGTTTAGGAATGTTGATGTATAGCAAGGCTCTTGTCTAGGTATTATTTGTGGCTCTCCTTTAACCCCTTAAGGACCAAACTTCTGGAATAAAAAGGGAATCATGACATGCCACACATGTCATGTGTCCTTAAGGGGTTAATGTAATACACGACATGGATTAGAATGAATTTAACATGCACTATAACCTAAGCTGCTGGAGTTGTGGGATCTGTGGCTACATTTGGGCAATCAGTACCAACATTCCATAGGATCTACTTTTAGCACTTTGTCCCAGATGTTACAGATTTTTCTTTATAAATAGATGTCTACTTAAAAGTTTATTTAAAGTGAATAGTGAATTATGTGAATTGGAAAAATGAAAATGAGTTTGGCTATTCTAGCATGATATTTGCTACTTCTTTTTTTTTTTACTTCCAATTTGTCTATTTTGGCCCCAAATTTTAAATGGTTTTCAGTTCACTGTAATTCACTGTTTAGTAAATAAACCCCATGCATGTTTTTTTTGTTTTTTGCAGTAGCAGTTCCTCATGTGACTGCTTAGACTGGTTTCTTATGGGTTAAAAGTTCCAGCTACAAGTGGTTGAAACTCATGTAATCATTGGCACAATACTGATTAAACTGGAAATGTTAATGTCTGGGGAATTTTTTTTCTAAACACTAAACATGGCTATCTGGCAGCTGAAGAACAAAAGAGGTTGAGTTCAAATTTTCCATACATTACATTTTTAGCTTGTAATTTTAAGTTTGTAATGTATTGATATATATGTATAAAACAATTTGATTTTTTTTTTTTTTTTTTTAAAGCCTCTATTTTTTTATAACTTTTGCATATACCCAATATTTCAAATGGAAAACGAGGAATTCTTTAATTTTAGGGTGTGAGTGAGGGTGTGACCAGGCGTGGGGCTGTTCTTCAAATTTTAGGGGGCTTAATAATAATTTAAGCAATGGAAAGGTAATTTAGAACAAGAACAATGTATCTTATTTACACAGACGGATTTCTAAATATATTAATTGTAGATTAAAGACGCATTAATGCGAGTGTTATTGCTGTGGAGCAGTTACCTCTGGTATGTAAGCTCATTGAGCAGGGCCCTCAACTCCTCTGTTCCTGTGCGTCCATTGTCTGGTTACAATTACGTGTCTGTTGGTCCACTCATTGTACAGTGCTATGGAATTTGCTGGTGCTATATAAATAATATAATAATAATACGCTTAGACAAATTAACATAGACAACATTCGGATACAAAATATGGACAGATAGATTTGAATCCCAAATAGGCAATGTTCCTGCTAAATAGCTTTTGCCATTCAGATTAAAATGTGGTACAGTTTAGAATTTAGTCAATAATCCATTCACTAAACTTTAGTTTATCTGAATTTCAAAATAAATTTAAAGTAAATTTCAAATTATGGGCTTCAATGGCTTAATTTAAACACAGTTCACTTGGAGAATGTTCCATTCATTTGAAAGTCACTTTTAAATCACTTTGAATTCCTGACAGATCACGCTTGAGTAAATATATTGGTTGTTTTGTGTAAATGAAAAAATCAACAGAGAGAAAAGTATTCACTTGTTTGCTTTTTTACATAGTTGTTTTTCTCAAAGAGCCCTGTTTATACCAATAACGGCAAACAAGCCGAGCAGGATTTGGCATTTACCGTAAACATTGTAGGAATCTGGATGGCCTGACCAATGGGTGGAGATTACCTATATTTATATTATGTACTGATTACATTTCCTGTCCATACACTAAAAACTAAATGTGATTGATGCAAATCAACTTGTTTTAGAGCAAATTGAATTTCAGAATATGATATATGTATTCATATTAAGGGCTATCTGCAACATCTAAATCAGAATAAGAGTTGTGTTACGTATGTATATGTTGAAAAAATTTGAATGAATGCTAAATATAAAATAGCAGTTTTAATCTGTGTTTTGGTTACTGCTATCTTAATCTGTATTTCGCAAGTGGGTTCTCACATCAATACAACGCACTGTCTAGTCTAGTGAATAGCCTGCTGTGTCATTGCAAAGGACACTCTTAACATCATAATCATTACACCACATTGTAGTTGTTATGGTGTAAAAGTTGTCCTCTTTCTTGGCATCAAACCATTTAGGAAAAAAAAAATAAAACAGGTCTCTCTCAGAAAGGAAGTATGTACATATATGCAATGATAGGGTGAGAGCTCTGGGAGTGAGTTGCCCATCCACAACAATATACTCCCATACTGTAACCCTGATTTCCAAAAGTAAAGGGGTGAGACAGTGTACTCCAACCCTTGTGACCACAAGATTTGCTGTGGACTGGACTATTGAGTTACACCCCACAGCATCTTGATTGTAGGTATCCCCCAGCCCTAAGTATATCATAACCCTCTATATTCTTTTAAAATAATTATATAACTGCAACATTTAAAATGGCTGTATGCTGTGCAATTATGCTAAATCGTTTTGAATGCATAACACAGTGTTGGAGCATTGCTGTAGGAACAGGTTTTTAAACTTTCACTCCTCTCTCAACAATTTAATAAACCATTAGATAATCGCTCTTTTGTGCTAACCTTCATGTTGTGCTTTTTTGCTTTATATAACAAATATTTTGCAAATAACAAAATTCAGTTAAGTCCAGGTACAGCCAAGTCACACAAAGGACGAGGTGAAACTTAAAATTTCGCCACAATTAAATATGTTCGGTAGCAAAAAGAGCAAAATTTATAGTAAATTTGGACAGGATTCCAAGATGAAAGCCCCTAGTTGTAGGATAAAGAGGTGTAGAACTCCATTTAACTTTATTTTTTTTACACATCACAAAGACACTTAATAAATACAGGGAGTAAGTAAGCATAATATTAACATTTCTGGGAAGCGACTTACCCTTTAATGCAGTTGGCACATGTTTTAGGTATGTATTCAGGTGTGTGGTTTATAAATGAAAGTTTATATTACTGAATTTTAGAGGTTTTTTATTTATCGATTTAAAGAAGAAGCCAGATTTATAAAAAAAAAAAAATATCACTAGTATACTGATCTAAATGGCTATCAATAGGCGGAAGGGTGCCAGGGAACAAAAATTTACTTCACACCCCTCTATTAGTTAGCATGACTGGATCACATTGAGTACCTAGCTACCTATGCAGCATGTGCTAGTCTCTGCTATGCAATGCTAACTTGGAGAGCATAAGCAGAACGCTATTCATGAGTAGAGGAAGGAACAAGATTTGAGGAGAAGGCCCCACCTCACAGTTAGTGTATGGGTTATCAAGTTTTGCCCTTAGGTTTTAAGGTTAGATATAGGGCATGGCATAGTGATGGGTTTTAGGAGGTGGTTTACTTCAATATATGCTGGAGAGGTCTTTATATTTACCCTTAGACTGAGGCACTTGGTATTTTTGCTACTTGGTAACGTACCTGAGAGGAAGACACCCATTGAGAAGTACACAGTCATAAGGCATATTTCAGGGCACTGTTGCACTAGCTTACACTCTTAAGTGAAAATGAACATGGGAGATTCAAGGTGCCAGTATCATTGTTTAAAATAGGAGAGATGTGCTTGTTACATTATAGATATCATGGAGTTATCAACGTTGAGGGTCAGTTAAATATGAAATAGAGTCTGTAGAGTGGTGGGTTTTAGGAAATCAGTTAGTGTGCTATTGATTTGGAATTCAGGGATATGTATCTAGGAGAGGGAGGGTGAGAGGTGGAAAGAGAAGGAAAGAGAAGTGGGGTGATTCATAAATGGGTCAAGTTATTATGCACGCAAAGCAGCACCTGTTAATAGACGAAAACCCAGCAGACCCATAACCTATAGAACAGGCACAGCCAAAAGTATATCCCCAGCTGCTATATTTTAAATGAACATGTCATCTTTAAGACTGGCAAAACATCATTGGAGGTGTAATTCAATATCATCTAGAGCAGGGGTTCCCAACCCAGTCCTCAAGTATCCCCTACCAGTCCAGGATTTAGGGATTACCATGTGTGGCAAAACCAACCTCGCCACTGGGCATTGGAGAAGCCTGTTTGCCCGCCTCCTGCCTGCTGACTATGGCCCCTGGGAGATTTGGCCCTTTAAATACAATATTTGGGCATATTGTATTTTATTATGCTGCTGGCCCTTTAAGAACCATCTGGGGACATACTGTGACTTTTGGGAACAATGCCCCTTTAAGACTATGGCCCCTGGAAGATATTGTCTGTTAAAGACTATTTTAGCAGATTGGATTTTAAAAGACTTGCTGCCCCTTTAAATTGTATTGGAGCAGTTCCGCAGCTTTAAATTGGCACTTCGGATGCAGCCGAAGTAGTCGAAGTGGCCGCCATTCGACAAACGAACACGTGGCAGCGGCCATCTTTGTTCATTCGAACGAAGTCAGCGGTATGTGTAGCCAAATTCATGGAACTGAAATCGGCTACACATTTCAACGAACACCGCTGACCCTTACCTTCTCCTATACTCAGTTTTCAGCTGCAGAGACTAAGCCCCGTTCGGCAGTTTGAACTCACTGCTATACTAAGCTAAATGCACTCGAATGGGACTTAGTCATTTTTCTGGTCGGTCATAAAGGACTCCCAGCTAACTTTTTATCTACTGGATGGATTTGTCTGAGTGTTTATGTTTAAAGTGTGCTGATTCTGAATCTGTAATTTTTATGAAGATTGGACATATATATTTAAAGTTATAGCACATGTATAAAAACTGTATTTTTCCTGCTTGTGATAATTATGTTAACCCATTGTGTACCATAATTATATCACAGGCAGAGGGGAGGATTTTGTGTATAATTGCTGGGAGTGTTTTCTATAATGTACATGTGTTATTGGTTGTTCTGTAAAACCCTGTGGGCAGTACTATGTTTGTGGATTGTGAATAAAAGAGGCTGTATGTGCCAGTACAGTCAGTTCTGCTTGACCTCAAAACAAAGTGTCGTCTCGTTATTGGGGGAATTGGATTGTATGCTGATTGCCAGGAGTGTAAGCTGATTGTATGCTTCTCCAGTTCGGTGGTTGTGGTGTCTGCTGCTGTGCTTGGAGTCCTCAGGAAGCGCTAGGAGCATCCTTCAACGGAGGTACCCAGTTGGGGTGCCGTCGATCCGTTACACCCTTTTATGTCTAACATGTTTTTTTTCTTCCAAAAACACCTTACACACAACTGGGTAATCCCTGGTTAATATGATAAATGAACAAATGTTTAGCACAAAACTCCGACAAGCTAAGCACATATACAACCTGCATGATCTGAACTGGACTGGATTCCTGCAGGATCCACATTAGCCCGGCGTGGACTTGGCAAGTATAAGGGTGCAAGGAGATTCACTTTTTGTTACATGAGGGAACCATTATCACAAAAATAACTCCCTTTTACAGTGTAAAGGAGAGAAGAACACCAAAATGAGCTCTGTTAAATTGAGAGATAATATTTTCAAAAACTGAGATTTTACATTATCATATATGAGTAGGGATACCATATCCACCTTTCTTCGAGGACACACATATTTTATGTAAAGTAATGGGAAACATACAGAAAGTGCTGCCTTGCAGTATGTAGAAGTCATATGCTGCAGGTAGTAAATCAATCTGGAATCTTGCAGCATATTCATTATCCATAATAAAGGGCAAAATTTTCATATGCCGCCAATCAACATGATGAGATTATGTGTCCGGGAAAATGGTGGATATGGCATCCTTATGTAGGATGGAATCTGCATACCAATATAGAGCTCCTGCAATACCATTCTGTGAATCCCATAACTAAGATGTCTGTGGGAGAGGATAGGCACCCCAGAACAAAGAGCTTTAATATTAAAGCACGTGAAGGGATGAAAACATGGGGTAATCAGATTTAAACTACATTTTATTTTTTTTGCAGGACAAACATGGATTTTTCAAAGCTACCCAAGATCATTGATGAAGAGAGGGAGAGTATGCTGGGATATGTCCACGGCGTATCGGGTCCAGGTATACATACAAGGATCTCAGAAGATCAATTCCTAAAATGAAGGAATGCTTGGCAAGATTAAATTTCCAAACAATTGATGGGGGTGCCATCTGTTCAATTATTGCAGTTACCACTTCCTTGCATCTGGAGACCGAATGATCTGCTTTATATTAGTATGAGTTACACTCCCAAGCAGAACCTGGTGCCATTTTAATGACAACAGCTTAATTTTGTTGCCACCTGGTATTGTCAAAAAAAAAAAATGTATCATGTGTGCAGCAGTCATAAAGTGCTCCCTTTAACCCCTTCACTAATACACGCTACATTACCCTGTTTGATCACTAAACATTTACTGCTACACAACATAAAACATTAACCTACAGTACCCTCACTCTAACCCTAACCCTGATTCTTTTTTTTTGTAACTGCCATCAATGGGATCTGAACACATTTATATACAACTCCACCTATATTCTCATGGTTTTATTATGAAGTCTCCAGAACCCCTCCATGACTGTAGTTTCTCATAATCTCAAATACATAATTCTTTTTATAGGAGTATGCAGATTTATACACAATCCTACAAAGGGAACTGACTGAATGTTTGTGTATATAATATAAAAGTTTATTAACCTTCCACATTGATCCGGTAGATGACAAATAATGCATTTTTGCAATGTTGCGAGATTATGAACTAGCGTGTATGTTAATGATAATGCAAGGTAAACTATGTGTGTGGTTACATTGCAGTGGTTATAGCATCACAGATGGCAGGAGCAGCGATGTACGAGCTGGTGCGTGTTGGTCACTCGGAGCTTGTAGGAGAGATTATTCGGCTAGAAGGAGATTTGGCAACTGTCCAAGTCTATGAAGAAACATGTATCCTTTCCAAGCTTGTGGGTTCACATCACATCAGTCTGGCCAAATAGTTCATAGGTTCCGTAAGCATTTTAACTTCAGGAGTAAATCTTAATGAACAGGAGTCAGGCTAACAATGCTTCATAATAAATACAGTACGTCTAGAGGAGAATCTTAACTTTAAAAGAATACTAAAGGGTCAGAAATACACGTTTGTTAAAAACTTTATTTAGCTCGCTGGCCGCCCCTTGTTCTCCTTAAATAGGATAAAAAAAATCACCTTTATTTCAGCACCGTGCGACTCAGCTGGCACTGGTCCTGCTCCTGATCCGCCTCCTTGGCTGTCATCATCCGAATTTACGATCTAAGTCAATTCAATGCTATCCCACAGGAAAAGCATTGGATTGGCTGAGATCATCAATTCTGATGATCGCAGCCAAGGAGGCAGGGCTGGGGAAGGAGGTGGCAGAACCAAAAGCCATACTGTCCAATCAACATCTCCTCATAGAGATGCATTGATTGATTAATTAATTGATTACTGCATCTCTATGAGGAACGTTCAGCGCCTCCATGCACAGCATTGAGACACTGAACGTCAGTGCTGCATGTTATGTAGTCCTGACCCTGGAAGCACCTCTAGAGGCCATCTGAGTGACTGACTGTGCAAATGTCCCTGGGCAGCAATGTAAACACAGCAAAACAATGCAGGGAGAGGCTCTAGCCACCAGGGCATTAAACTGTAGTTGTTCTGGTGATTATAGTGTCCCTTAAAGACAAGCCCTTTTTAGTAATTCTCAAACTACAGACTGAAATGCTGATTTCCTTTAAAAATGGCCCTCATATACAGGGAGTGCAGAATTATTAGGCAAGTTGGATTTTTGAGGATTAATTTTATTATTGAACAACAACCATGTTCTCAATGAACCTAAAAAACTCATTAATATCAAAGCTGAATATTTTTGGAAGTAGTTTTTAGTTTGTTTTTAGTTATAGCTATGTTAGGGGGATATCTGTGTGTGCAGGTGACTATTACTGTGCATAATTATTAGGCAACTTAACAAAAACAAATATATACCCATTTCAATTATTTATTATTACCAGTGAAACCAATATAACATCTCAACATTCACAAATATACATTTCTGACATTCAAAAACAAAACAAAAACAAATCAGTGACCAATATAGCCACCTTTCTTTGCAAGGACACTAAAAAGCCTGCCATCCATGGATTCTGTCAGTGTTTTGATCTGTTCACCATCAACATTGCGTGCAGCAGCAACCACAGTCTCCCAGACACTGTTCAGAGAGGTGTACTGTTTTCCCTCCTTGTAAATCTCACATTTGATGATGGACCACAGGTTCTCAATGGGGTTCAGAGCAGGTGAACAAGGAGGCCATGTCATTAGATTTTCTTCTTTTATACCCTTTCTTGCCAGCCACGCTGTGGAGTACTTGGATGCGTGTGATGGAGCATTGTCCTGCATGAAAATCATGTTTTTCTTGAAGGATGCAGACTTCTTCCTGTACCACTGTTTGAAGAAGGTGTCTTCCAGGAACTGGCAGTAGGACTGGGAGTTGAGCTTGACTCCATCCTCAACCCGAAAAGGCCCCACAAGCTCATCTTTGATGATACCAGCCCAAACCAGTACTCCACTCCACCTTGCTGGCGTCTGAGTCGGACTGGAGCTCTCTGCCCTTTACCAATCCAGCCACGGGCCCATCCATCTGGCCCATCAAGACTCACTCTCATTTCATCAGTCCATAAAACCTTAGGAAAATCAGTCTTGAGATATTTCTTGGCCCAGTCTTGACGTTTCAGCTTGTGTGTCTTGTTCAGTGGTGGTCGTCTTTCAGCCTTTCTTACCTTGGCCATGTCTCTGAGTATTGCACACCTTGTGCTTTGGGCACTCCAGTGATGTTGCAGCTCTGAAATATGGCCAAACTGGTGGCAAGTGGCATCGTGGCAGCTGCACGCTTGACTTTTCTCAGTTCATGGGCAGTTATTTTGCGCCTTGGTTTTTCCACACGCTTCTTGCGACCCTGTTGACTATTTTGAATGAAACGCTTGATTGTTCGATGATCATGCTTCAGAAGCTTTGCAATTTTAAGAGTGCTGCATCCCTCTGCAAGATATCTCACTATTTTTGACTTTTCTGAGCCTGTCAAGTCCTTCTTTTGACCCATTTTGCCAAAGGAAAGGAAGTTGCCTAATAATTATGCACACCTGATATAGGGTGTTGATGTCATTAGACCACACCCCTTCTCATTACAGAGATGCACATCACCTAATATGCTTAATTGGTAGTAGGCTTTCGAGCCTATACAGCTTGGAGTAAGACAACATGCATAAAGAGGATGATGTGGTCAAAATACTCATTTGCCTAATAATTCTGCACTCCCTGTAGAAGCATGTGTATTGATATCCAAAGATAAAATGTGTTTTCATGATACAATACTTTTTGACTACTATAAATAGCACAGAATAGTACCCTCTAAGGATCATAATATTTTTCTTCATAGTGTGTATTCAATGTTCTTTATCTGCATTGATTATTATTTAAGCTGCATTCTCACATGTTAAAACTTTCAGTAGACAGTACTAGTGATATGGCGAAACGTGACTTCTCCTGCAAACTTTTATTCAATAAAGTATAAACTTTTGGGAATTCGACTAAATTAAAATTGTAATTTAAAATTCTATTTTATTTTTTTTGTCTAAAATTTGACGTTCATTTAAGTGAATAACCCTACCTGATGACAAAGAGGTTGAGTAGTAAATTCCATGTGTTTTATGTAGGTTTTAAAGGCATTTTTTCCAGTGTAAGGGGGACATTTTATATGTACATTTCCTGAGTTTGGTCCTTTCAGCTGGAGTATCTGTGGGTGATCCAGTTTTGAGAACAGGAAAACCCCTCTCCGTGGAACTTGGACCGGGAATCATGGGAAACATCTTTGATGGAATCCAGCGACCTCTTAAAGACATTGCAGACCTCACAAAGAGCATTTATATTCCTCGTGGTATCAATATAAATGCTTTGTCACGGGATATCAAATGGGAATTTATTCCTGATAAAAATATCCGGGTAAGATTATAGTGAGAGCATGCATATCACCTGCAGAAATTACTTCATAATACATAGCATTGATCCCATGTAATGGTACACCCATAAAAATGTAATATGTATTTTCAGACTCTCCATTTTAATGTAGGAAATTTTACTTTTGTAGTTCCAAGCTTTAAGCAATCGTTTTATTAAAGCATATAATAAGGCCAAAAAAACTTGTAAATGGTCACAAGGTTATCACAACAAATCGTGTAATTCTTAGCCTCTATCCCATGATTAATATAGTCATGTATCAGCTTCCCTCTCAATCATCTGAGAGATGGAAACATGATTACTGCCACGAACAGATGTCATGGAAAAAACTTTTTTGTGGCAACATTTTCACCCGGTGAAAGTGAGACAGTTAGAACTTGTTGACTTCAATGTAAAGGAGCATGTTTTATTTTTCCATACCTACCTGCCCCATTTCTTTATTATATCAATTAGTGCTTGTTCTTTCTCTCTCTTTAAAAATTTTTTTTGTTATTGATCTTGTTTTGATACAGTGTGCAATCCCATCCCAGGCTAGGATGGTGCAACTACTCCATTTCCCTCCATGGGTTTAGGGAGTTGTAGCTTGCAGTTGGCTCAACCCCCAAACAGCTAACAGGATGTTAATTAATTTCTATGCACCTGATAAATGTATTTCTTGCAGGCTGGGAGTCATGTGACTGGAGGGGATATTTATGGATTTGTGCAGGAGAATTCGCTCATCAAACACAAAATTATGCTTCCTCCTCGCAGTTGTGGGACAGTCACCTATATTGCACCTCCAGGAAACTATGACATTTCGGTAGGTAACCTAAACATCTTTAATTGCAAACTCTCAATCCAGTAAGACTTAAAGGGACACTACAGCTTAATGTGATTGTTTTGGTGAATATAGTACGTGCCTGTAGGCATTTTCATGTGAACACTGCCTTTTCAGAGAAAATGTAGTGCTTACATTACTGCCTAGTAACACCTGTAGTGGCAGTCACACAACTCAACTCAGCCACTGGAAGTGCTTCCTGGGGCAGTGCTAAGAGGAGAGGCTGATTGGCCAGTGTGGCATTTTGCCACGGGTGCACATTAACCTCCCAATGCTTTCCTATGGGAAGCCATTGGATTGGCTGATATTGTCAATTCTGATCTCAGCCATGGAGGCTAAGTGGTGGCAGAGCCAGTGCCAGTGAAGCCCCGTGGCGTTGGAATAAAGGTGAGTTTTTACCCAATTTAAGGTTCGCAACACTAAAATTATTTTTTACTATAATAGGGTCAGGAATACACATTTGATCCTATAGTGTTCCTGTACATGAATAATTTTATGTCTGTGCTTACCTGCTTAACTGCTTAAGGACACATGACATGTGTGACATGTCATGATTCCCTTTTATTCCAGAAGTTTGGTCCTTAAGGGCTTAAAGGACCACTATAGGCACCTAGACCACTTCAGCTCAATAAAGTGGTCTAGGTGCCAGGTCCCCCTAGTTTTAACCCTGCAGCTGAAAACATAGCAGTTTCAGAGACAGCCACTGGAGGCCACTTCCGCGATTCTTAGTGTGAAAATTGCATTGAACTCACGTTGGACGTCCATAGGAAAGCTTTGAGTAATGCTTTCCTATGGGCGGTTTGAATACGCGCGGCTCTGTTGGCGCAATTGCATTTGGCTCCACTCTAGCCCAGCGGAAGGGGGGCCCCGAGGGAGGGAAGGACCTAATAACCCTATAGTGCCAGGAAAACTATAAAAACCTTTTATTTTCCTGGCACTATAGGATCCCTTTAAGTTCTTAAAATCTATCAGGCTTTTATACATACTTTATTTTTTGATATTTCCTGATATTGTGTGGTAAGCAGCAGCATCACAAGTTGGGTGTAGGTGGGTGCACACCACACCTGGTGACACAATCACCTTAGCCATAAATGTCTGCCCCACAGACACCTGGATTGCAGAATATCTGCCCAGTTTGCTCTGTGAGTTTCGGCTTGAAGAGCAGACCTAGCAGGGAACGCGGCACACAGCACTCATCTACAGACAGAAATTTGGCACTCCATGTTGCCGCTGATATCAAAGAGATTTGCAGCATGTCCCTGCTCGTCTATCAATGTGTGAGTAGAGAGTCATGCATATGAGTGGGCCAGGATTTATTAAATTTTTTATGCATGTCTCTATGGCTGTGCATATCTTGTTGTATGTGCCTTTCGGTGTCAGTGCATGACTATGTGTGTGCCTGTGCCACTAGTTTCTGTGGGTTACACCATGATTTACCGCACAGAGTGACACCAACCCTAGTAAAACCACTAGCAATAAAAAGAAAAAGAAAAAAGGATGAGGACGACAGGTGATACATTTTGTGAAATTCTACAGTATAAGTGCAGGAATCCCATTCTAAAGCTGAAGAAGGGGATTTTTATATGTGCTGAATATTACTTTGTTTTCCTCCTAGTTTCCTTAATTGTAGACATGATGCACAAGCTGTAACCAGTGCAATCATATGATCCTATTCCGACTTGTAAAACATTGTAATGCATGTAAAGAACCAGGGATATATTCTTTGAGTGAGATTCACTAAAATTAATAAAACTATATACTATAAGTATACTCTATAAAAACTGTGCATAATCAATGTTCCATGACTGCTGGTAAATTGATATATATTGCAGAAACTAAAGTTTCAACACAAGATTAACATTTTAGGTTCTGATAAACACTAAGGTCCTTTAATCTTCTAAATACAAGGTAAATGGCTGTTTAGTTTCTTGGTCCGTGTATTTCTGCCACTGCTGTTGTATTTGAGGGTGAGGGAATGGGGATGGTGTTTCCATAGCGCTCTGTAGAGGAAAAAAAATAGGTGCCTGCACTAAACCTTAGAAGAGCCATGGCTACATGAAAAGTGACCATCCTTAGACGATATTATCCATAATGCGAAGATCTGGATGCACCCTAGATGAGCGGAGTCCAACAGAACATGCCGGCTATTGCTGAACCATAGTGCCTAATAATATTTTGCTATCCTGTCTTTCTCTCCTTATCCTAGGATGTTGTGATGGAATTAGATTTTGAAGGTGTGAAGGAGAAGCTCTCAATGGTTCAGGTTTGGCCTGTTCGACAGATTCGGCCAACAGCCGAAAAACTTCCTGCCAATTTCCCACTTCTCACTGGTCAAAGAGTTCTGGACGCCCTTTTCCCGTAAGAACATTTAAGACTTGTAATCATTATATAACACTGCAACTGCTATTGAAAAAAGCGTATATTTTGATTGAACTATAAAAGTATACAGTTTTAGAGAGAACCCAGAACACATACACAAATACATAACCTGGTATTAAATTGAGAGAATGAAAAGTTGCATAAATCTTCTATGAATTTGACAGGTGTGTACAGGGTGGAACCACGGCAATCCCTGGTGCCTTTGGCTGTGGTAAGACAGTGATCTCTCAGGCACTCTCGAAATTCTCCAATAGTGATGTTATAGTGTATGTCGGTTGTGGGGAGCGTGGAAATGAGATGTCTGAAGTCCTAAGAGATTTTCCGGAGGTAAGAAAACATTGTAAAGCATGGGTAGGCAACCTTTGGCACTCTAGATGTTCTCAAACACATCTCCCCTTTGCCAGTATTATGGGAGATGTCCACAACATCTGGCGTGCCAAAGGTTGCTGATCCCTTTTCTAAGGAAACAAAATATGGTGGACATATTATAGCACCATTATAAGAGATTATATCCATAAATATTTTTTACACATTGTGTACATAATCAGGCCCAATAAAGTATATTCCCTGTATATTCAGAATTTGAAGAAGACAATATCAGATGATGTGCATTCTTCACCAATAAAATAAGCCCCACTACAAAGCTTTTAGTGACCCTTACAATGAAAGGTTATTAATCTTTTCACAGAATCTTTAATTTGGGAGTTTATATTTTCTGAATTGGCCTCCGCTGATGCCAATAGTAAATGATCTGCAATAGTGTGAAAAATGTGAAATATAGTAAAATATGAATAATAAAAACCTGAATAATAAATGGATTATATATTGTATGACCACCTAGCTTACAATGGAGGTTGATGGAAAAACTGAGTCAATTATGAAAAGAACAACGCTGGTTGCTAATACATCCAACATGCCAGTCGCTGCGAGAGAGGCTTCTATTTACACAGGTGAGTTTTATTGAAATAAAACAATTTCAAATTAACACATTGATTAGTGTGCATAGGGCTCAATGGCCCAGAGCCTGACTTTTTTTAAAAACAAAAATAGAAAATGTAATAAAACGTTTTATACGTATTCCACACATACTTAATTCCTCCATGTATCTACAATGTTTTAATACAGGTTGCTGTGCACAAAACTAAAGTCAAAACTTTAAGAGTCAATACATAAGCGAAGAAAATCATGAGTTTATTAGGGTAAGGTCATTGATAGGGCCGATAGGGATAAATGACCTTACCCTAATAAACTCCTGATTTTGTTCGCTTATGTATAATTCCATTAATAAGGGGTTAAATCCCACATAGGAGTTTACACCTCTATTTGAAAAAACTTTTGATTATTCAAAACTGAAAGAAGTTGTAAAGAAAAAAAAATATCTGCTATAAAAGTCACTTACATTTCTTGACTGCCAAAAGATTTTACTATACTAGCATTCAATATTTCCCTCTAAGTCATAGCCCTTGGCACTAAAATTAAGCTGCCTTTAACCCATACCCCTAATCACATGTAACATTTAACACTTACTGTATGTTACCTTTAATCCTGATTCCTGAACCCTAACCATAGGTTACTGAATGTAACATTGGGGAATGATTATATCTGTACATTCTATTAACCATATATCTGGTAGTCATTTGGCTGGTACAAAGTAAAAATTGTGAGCTTAAAACTGGACTTTATCGTGTTATTTGTTTCCATTAGAGCCAGCATTATGGATTTAAAGTAAAGAAGATCTAACTTGTAAGTGCCATTCTTTACCAGAATTTGGTATTTTAAAAATCTTTATTTGTCTTATTAAGGCATCACACTTTCTGAATATTTTCGCGATATGGGTTACAATGTCAGTATGATGGCGGATTCCACTTCTCGTTGGGCGGAAGCTTTAAGAGAAATTTCAGGTCGTCTGGCAGAAATGCCTGCAGGTAAGTTGCTAGAAAAGGTTTCAATATCTCAGTGCAATCATTCCTCAACTTTGTTATCAGGAAATATAAATTTGATAAGTACTCATTCGAATACGTTTACATGTTTTCTAGTAAAAAAAAAAATCGATACGGCTTACAGACCTAAAATTCACACTGTTCTCTTTCAATTATCTTCTAATCTTCTAAGCTCACCACAAAGGTTAGACATGGTTTTAGATGTAGTAAACTTACCACGTGAGAAAATACTTTGCCAGCTAGCATTATAAATATGTGTACATTTTTAACCATATTGGGAAGTTTTGATGATGTGATAAAAAAATAGAAATGGTGGTCAAAATGGAGTTTCCCTATTCATTCATTTAGTTTCCATGGTGACTACCTAACTTTTTTAGAAGTGCTCATCACTTCTCTCAGCATAACACTTTAATTTCCTCCATCAAGTCTCCTGAAATGCAAAAAAAAGTATTTGTTTAGCAATGCTGCATAAAAATATGAAATTCACCATATTCCAGACAGTGGTTATCCTGCTTACCTTGGAGCTCGGTTGGCCTCCTTCTATGAACGTGCTGGACGTGTTAGATGTCTTGGGAGTCCACAGAGAGAAGGCAGTGTCAGCATCGTTGGGGCGTAAGTTGCGAATTCTTTAAAATGTGTCATGTGGCTTGGAAAAGTGTAAGAGATTTTCCTAATTCTAGAGCCTTTCTGCATCAATAGGGTCTCACCGCCTGGAGGGGATTTCTCTGACCCTGTAACCTCAGCCACTCTGGGTATTGTACAGGTGAGATTTTGTCTCATAACAGCATCTATATTTCACATTAAATGAGTTATCCTTATCCTTAAAAAGAAAGAGTATTTTAACCCAAATGCTACTCCCAACTAGTGAAATAAATGTTTTATGTTTTTGCACTTTATGTTAGTAAGAAGATATCCTACAATTACAATTAAGTATCCTTACACAAACGATGCAACATTTCTAGAAGTATAAATTTGGTTACATGTGGGTGAATATTTGAGATTTTGAAGACTCAGATATTTTCCAAACTGGAAACTAATTTACATTTCCTTTAAATAGGTCTTTTGGGGTCTGGATAAGAAGCTTGCACAGAGGAAACATTTCCCGTCCGTCAACTGGCTCATTAGCTACAGCAAGTACATGCGAGCTTTGGATGATTATTATGACCGGAACTTCCAAGAGCTTGTTCCTCTCAGGACAAAAGCCAAAGAGATCCTTCAGGAGGAAGAAGATTTGGCAGAAATTGTCCAGTTGGTTGGAAAGGTGAGTAGATCTGAACTGGAGACAATTAAGGAAATAATATGTGATGGTGAAAACCAAATATATAAGAGTGGAGCTCCAAAATGCTTATCTAGAGAAGTTTTTATCCAAACTCAACCTTATATAAGGTTTACCATCTCATAAACATAAAACAGAATAAGTATAGTATAGTGTAGTTTTGTATACAGACAGATTTGTGTAATGTATATTTATAGGAGCTCACTATATCCTGTCACTAGATTTAGGTGTTTTTTGACAATTACTGCTCAGTGAGATCTACAATACTCCTTTCCTTTGTAAATTATCAAGCTCTAGTGTAGCATGGTAAAAATACATTTGAAAAAACACAATCTCATATATGGTATAAAAACTTTGCTTCTCCTCCGGTAACTGTGTAAGAAGTAACAAAAAACTAGGATTGAAGCTTGACATTCATTTTTCCCACTATCTTGTTAATTATCCCGTGTAGTGCTAGGTGTATCAAACTTTGAAAGAAGCCACAATAGGGCTGTTTTTTACTGATATGATTAATCTGAAAACAGGACAAAAAGGTGCGAAAAAAATTTCTTCCCATCTGTTTGTCATCCATGTGACTGATCAGACATTTGTCTGGAAATCCATGTAAAGCTTTTAGAGTCTAATAGAAGAAATTACTATGTATAAGATGTTCATTTGAATTTAAACTTGATGTTTATTGTACTAACCACATTTCCGCCCATAGTCATTCTAAGCTGTCATTCCCATGTCTTGTGGGTGGCAATCCATTGGACAGTTGACTTTGGTACAGTGCATCTTCTGCTTTCTTGATTTACAGGGTTCACTTGCAGAGGCAGACAAGATTACCTTAGAAGTTGCTAAACTGATTAAAGATGACTTCCTCCAGCAGAACGGATATTCAGCCTATGATCGGTAAGAGCTTAAATCACTGACCTACTTCACACAATCATATTGTCTCAGAGAAATAGCCGTGGCGCTTTAGAAGGTATCTGAAATAGGCAACAAATCTTGAATATAAAGTGAAAGAGGCGAACATTCAACACTACCATATACAGTGATAATGTTTAATGGGAATCTGGTGATGTCAACAAAGGCTGGCACCAAATGCCAGTAAATACAGCAATTTCATTTAGATCCAGTAGACTCAGAAGTTTTTTTTATATATGAAAATATGAAAACTCTAGGGGCATTACATTTGTATTGCTGAATATGGCACTGTAAATTCAACAGACATTTCCACGATAACATGAAATGTAATTTCTTCTCAGATTCTGTCCTTTTTATAAAACGGTGGGAATGCTTCAAAATATGATCGCATTCTATGACATGGCACGACACGCAGTGGAAGCCACGGCTCAGTCAGAAAACAAGATTACTTGGGCGTTAATACGCGAAAACATGGGTGACATGCTGTACAAACTGAGTTCAATGAAATTCAAGGTGAGAAACCATCTTTAAACAGGAAGGGAACAAAGTCTCCAACTGCTGTAAAATTACACTTTCTGTTACCCTAAATCTTGAATACAGCCGTAGTACTAATCAAACACTGCCCAATTTGCGCTCTTTCACAGAATATTATCCAACTTTTCAGAAACTGTGAGTCCTTGAATTACAGTAAAAATGTTGACGATGTACACAGTGCTGAAAATACAGGTGATACTCAAAAAATTAGAATATCGTGCAAAAGTTAATTTTTTTCAGTAATGCAACGTAACATTTTGGAAACTAATATATGAGATAGACGCATTACATGCAAAGCAAGATAGTTCAAGCCGTGATTTGTCATAAGTGCGATGTTTATGGCTTACAACTCATGAAAACCCCAAATCCACAATCTCAGTAAATTAGAATATTTTTCGAGTATCACCTGTAGATAAATGACTCATTCAAGAAATAAGATACACAACAAGATAGTCTCCCTGCTCAAGTGAGCTTATGCTGTAAAGGAAACAGTGATATATTTATATACGTTTAAAGGCCATTTAATTTGAAGCTAGCAATTTATTTAAGAGCTCTGTTTTCAGTATTTTTCACCGAAAGAACAAAGTCACAGATTCAGCCGCTGTCCTATGGTTTACATAACCAACAACAAATATGACTATTGATAGAACCCCATAGGAAATAAATTAAACATGCAAACATATCCATGTATTGGCTGCACCTTCATAGAGGATATACTTGTAATAGAAACATGTTGGCTCTAGTACTTTATTGCTTGTATTGAAGTCTTATAGGCAGCGTGGTATTAAGATTGCAAAATAAACCGCCTACAGAATGAGGTTAAGGCATATCCATTGTGCTCATGACAGTTCTGCCATATTGGTTCTGATGGAATAAAACCAACCAAATAGGTTTGTTGTAACAGCTATATTGATATTTAGTTCACAATGTAATATTTTGCACACATAAACAGGGTAAGTAAAACTGATATTTTCACATAACTGATTGTTAGAGGTAAACAGTCAATTCACAAAATCTTAGGTTTTCTTACCCCTTAAAGATAACAAATACGTTTTCTTATAGAACAAAGCTAAGCCTGGTCTAGACTGTGATGTAATTTGCTAAATCTTTACTATAAATTAAGAAATAGGCATTCTCAATTGTGTACATTTATATAAAATGGTATATTCCTTAAGTACAGCTAAGTATGTTCATACACAGTCAGATTGAAGAAAACTATCCTTGTTACAGCAGAGGTATGTTAACTGTATTATATCTCCCTCTAGTGGGGTGTTAAAGATAATTACTAGAATGCCAACACAATCTGATTGTGTACAGGTACTCCTCACTTACCGACCGGGTTCCGTTCCTATAACCTGGTTGTAGAATGAATTGGTTGGTGAGGAGTTAAGGGATTCCCTGCTCTGGGGCACTTGTATAAATTCAGGGAAATTTCCCCGAGCATAGACAAACGCAGCAGAGCAAGGAATCCCTCTAATTCCCATGACGGTGCGCATGAGAGAGCTGGTCGTAAGTGCGAGCCGTCATAAAACAGGTAGGTCGCAAAATGAGGACCACCTGTATTTGAACTCTAAAATAGTCTCAGTGATAGTGTATTTTGAATAAAATACAGATTACGAAACAGCTCACACACAAAAATAGTTTTAAATTTTACAAGGTTACTTAAAGGATCACTATAGGGTCAGGAACACAAGCATATATTCCTGATCCTATAGTGTTAAAACCACCATCTAGCCCTCCTTGGTCCCTCATGCCTTCATAAATATATCAAAATATTACTGTATTCAAGCCAGAAGCTGTAGATCTGTATGCTGTTTGCCTAAAAACAAACAAGCAGTCTGCTGACATCATCAGAAGTGGTAGCCTGATCCAATCACTGTGCTTCCCCATAGGATTGGCTAAGACTGACAAGGAGGCAGATCAGGGGCAGAGCCAGCATGATTCAAACACAGCTCTGGCCAATCAGCATCTCCTCATTGAATTGAATCAATGAATCTAAATGAGGAAAGTTCAGTGTCTGCATGCAGAAGGAGGAGACACTGAATGTTTGGATGCATTTTAGGCAGCCATGACCCAGGAAGGATCTCTGACAGCCATCTAAGGAGTGGCCAGTGACGTTATCACTAGGCTGTAATATAAACACTGCATTTTCTCTGAAAAGACAGTGTTTACAGCAAAAAGCCTGATGGTAATGATGCTACTCACCAGAACAAATTCAATAAGCTGTAGTTGTTCTGGTGACAATAGTGTCCCTTTAAAATCACTTTTCTCAGCAAACAAATATGGGGATTCAGTTCCACCATATGGCCATATTGTGTTAAGTCTAACACTACACCACAGTAGCCCAATATCGGTGGTTCCTACACCCAGGGCCGGTGCAAGGATTTTTGCCGCCCTAGGCAAAAGAAAGATTTGCCGCCCCCCCGGAACATCGCAATGCCCCACCCATATGAACTAATGCCAGTGCTGCACACAGTGTGTGTTTACATTAAAAAGCCTGCAGGGACAAACTATAGACACCAGAACAACTTTATTAAGCTGCAGTGGTTCTGGGGACTATAGTGTCCATTTAATGTGAGGTAAATTAGAGATTAGTGTCACTAATAATATACTAGATTGCCTACTTACAATCAGATGAGGATGGTGATCTCTGATCTGGCTGCAGTCTGGCTCCACTGGTCTAGAACAGGATCTCTGGAGGCTGTTTGCAACTGTGGTCACAAAATTCAATGTTCTGGGAGAACGGGAAGCAGCTCCATTTTTGGGGGCCTCTTACATAGCTCAATGTCTGGGCCCCAGGGCCTGACGGTGAGTATGCCCATAAAGCCCACCCATAAGTCCCCCTACATGTTCCACCCATGAACTCACAGGGAGTAGAGTGTGTAGGGGATGTGTTATGTGTTACTGTAGAGGATCTAATGTGTGTGCTTACGGAATGTAGTGTATAGGAATACCAGTTTGTGTAGATGATGCAGTGTTGTTTGTGTAAGGGATAGAAAGCAGTGAGTGTTTGTGTATAAGGGATGTATTGTGTGTTTCTTGTTGTGTGTAAGGGATGCATTGTGTGAATCTGTGTTTTTATGCATAAGGGATGCAAAGTGTGTTTCTGTGTATGTAAGGGATGCAGTGTGTGTGTCTGTAAGGGGTGTGTTGAGTGTGTGTAAGAGATGCATTGTGTTTCTGTGTGTGTGTGTAAGAGAAACAGTGTGTGTTTGCAGGTGTGTGTAAGGGATGCATTGTGTGTGTTCTGTGTATATGTGCAAAGGATGCATTGTCTTTATGTGTAAGGGTTGCATTGTGTGTTTCTCTGTGTGTAAGGGAAGCATGTTGTGTTTCTGTGTGTATAGGGATGCACTGTGTGTGTGTGTGCCCGTGGTGTGAAAGAGCTCCCTGTCCCCCTGTCCTATAGAGCTCTCCCTTCCATTCCTTAGAGATCTCCCCTGCCCCTTAGTGGTCTCTCCTCTCCCCCCCACCTCCCTTAGTGGTCTCCTTTTCTCCCCGACTTTCCATTAGTGGTCTCTCCTCTCCCCCCACCCTCCCCTAGTGGTCTATCCTCCACCCCCCTCCCTTAGCGGTCTCTCCACTGCCCCCTCCCTCCTTTAGTGGTCTCTCCCTCCCCTACTTTCTCATCTCCCACCCCTCGTGTTCTCCTCTTCTTCTCCCCCCGTGTTTTCCTCTTATTGCCCCCCTCCCTGTGTTCTCCGCTTCTTCTCCCCCCTGTAATCTTGTCTTCTTCTCCCCTCCCCCCCGTAATCTTCTCCCCTCCCCCCCTGTAATCCCTTCTTCTCCCCCGTAATCTTCTCTTCTTCTCCCCCCATCAATCTTCTCCCCATCAATCATCTCCCCCTCCCATCAAATCATCTCCCCCCCCTCCCTCCTATCAAATCATTTCCCCACTCCCATCAAATCATCTCCCCCCCCTCCCTCCCATTCGTCATCCCCTCCATCTCCAGCCCTCCCATCCGTCATCCCCCATCATCTCCCCCCCTCCCATCAAATCATCTCCCCCACTCCATCAATCATCTCCCCCCCCTCCATCAATCATCATCTCCCCCCCTCCCTCCCATCAAATCATCTCCCCCCCTCCCTCCCATCGTCATCTCCCCCCCCTCCCATCAATCGCACCCCCCCTCCCATCAATCATCTCCCCCTCCATCAATCCATCATCTCCCCCCTCCCTCCCATCAAATCATCTCCCCCCCCATCAAATCATCTCCCCTCCATCTCCCCCCTCCCATCTCCCCCATCAAATCATCTCCCCATCAATCATCCCCCCCCTCCCAGCAGCTTCTCCTCACCTCCCCTGCACTTAGCGTGGCCGAGCTCCTATCCGGTCCGCGACCCGGCGGACTGACAGGAAGTGCACACTTCCTGTCAGTCCCGCCGGGTCGCGGACCGGGTAGGACCTCAGCCACGCTACAGTGCCGGGGAGGTGAGGCAGTGCAGCAGCCGCCTGAGCGCTCTCTATAGAGCGCTCAGGTGGCTGCAGAATTTAAAGGGCCGGCGATGGGGGCGCAGGGCGCCCCCTCCTATATGGCGCCCTAGACGGCTGCCTAGTTCGCCTTATAGGAAGCGCCGGCCCTGCCTACACCAATGCCAATGTGGGAGACAAATTAAATAGTACTAGTGCTATTTTGAATGGAACGATTGATGTAAGGTATTTTATCTGCATTGAAATGCTTAGTAAAATCGTTTACAGATCTTGTTATGTATAAACCTACCCCAATCTTTAGGATGAGATGTATGTTGATATATACATAACAATATCTGGAACCATCAGATGCTTTTTTTCTTCGTACGTGGAAGATAATGTGAGCATATGTTAGTGGTAAACAGGAATATTAAAAAAGTATACTGTGTACTGTGAAAAAAATATAATTTAGCAGAGCTTGTAAATTGAGTGCTGAAAGGTAGTATTGTGTCTTTTCTAACAAAGGATCCAGTAAAGGACGGAGAAGCAAAGATTAAGGCTGATTATGCCCAGCTGTATGAAGAGATGCAGAATGGTTTCCGTGGATTGGAGGATTGATCAAGATATAGGAGCCACTAACGAATCTACGTGAAACCCCAAGAGATGGACAGGGCGTCTTTACTTAGAAAGAGGACTATTTATAAAGGGAGACCACTGTTATGTGTAAATAATTAACTTAAGGACAATAGCTGCACATTTCACCTGCAAAATTATATATTATAAATATATATAACTTGTACTTGTGAAACTTTAATAAACATACCTGCATATATTTTCTTTGGTTCCATTCACACTAGTGATCCTTACTTTGGCTGAGATAAATGCATTGGATGTTTTTGTCTAGTGGCGCATCAAAAAGATATTTCCTTAATTATTAGAAAAATATAAACATTTTGATTGTGTACTTAGGATCTAAAATTCCTTTGCATGTAAATATTCGATCTATGCCATCATGAAATTTAACCTATGTCATCATTGAAGCAGATTGTATAAAAATGTGTGTTTTAGGGGAGAGTTGGTAACATTTTGGCATGGGAGGCTAGTTCAAATGAATGGCCTTACAAATCTGTCTAAATGGCCCTCCTCACACCAGGTTGGTTGGGCTTTATACATGAAGGCCTAAGACATTAAAAGAGATATTTCTGAAAGTGGTATCGACACTTTTCCATCTAGTTTTTGACAATTATTTGGCTCAATTTATTAAATATGTCAGATTGCTTTAATCTGTTTGCTTTATTTAGTATTATTATTTATAAAGCGCAAACAAATTCCATAGCACTGTACAATGGGTGGAGTAACAGACACGTAATTGTAACCAGACAAGTTGGATGTACAGTAACAGAGGGGGTTGAGGGCCCTGCTCAATGAGCTTACATGTTAGAGGGAGTGGGGTATAATGACACAAAATGTTAAGGGTATGGTAGAGAAGCAGGTTGCTAGAATAGTATTCACAGAAACATTGTGGGGGGGGGTTTAGACATTGGCAGCAGAGGAATCAAGGTGCAGGGAGGGAAAGCTATTAACAGTTTAATTAATATGCTTTCCTGGAAAGGTGAGTTTTCAATTTGGAGACTGGTTGAAAGTCTAATGAAGAAAGCAAGGGATTTCCACAGGGATTGTGCAACACTATTTTCACTCTAACCATTTGAATATAAAAAATGTTTTAAACATTTTCTAACACTTTTTTTTTAACAGGAAAATTATGGAATTTTTCTCCCATAAAGGTGATTTTCTAACATAAATATCTTTTAAAAATATACTAAAAAGAAAGCTGTTGCTTTTCTATCACTTTAATAAACTCTAAATAAATTTCCAATTTAAGTCACTTTCACAACCATTTTTGCTATAAACACAGACTGTTTTCCTGGACTTCCCAGCCACCAGTTACAACTCTTCTGGTCTTATGAGCAATACTTGCCCAACGACCACTACAGTAACGTCATACAAACTTATGCTAGACTGGCAGCATGTTCAACTCCAGATACAGTCCACAAATAAATATCCCACTGTGCCAGTCCAAGCCTGGTTAGCATTCAAAGTACAGGCCACCAGCAAATGCACAGAGTAACAAAATCTCTGAACAATTTCTGCTTGCAACCTTAGACCTGCAGTGACAACAGACATTCCAATGGGTCTTTTGCTATTTTATCCTTCAGAAGTATAGTTAGCTGTTACATGTCACATAAGCAATTGTCTTCCTGCCACCCTTTCCAGCCCTCCCATGGTTCAATGTGAAATATACTTTATGTGAAATCATCTTCCAAGTACTTTACTTGCATAATGCAAGACTTGGCACGGTCTTCCGGAGTTGTGTTGAAGACAAAGAACTGGCCTGTGGTGGAGAGGGAGATATAACACAAGGGGACGGGGCAGCAAAAGGGATATAGCACGGACACATGGGGCAGAGAAGGGTGAAAGAAGTTTACAAATAATTGATATATACCACACACACAGGCTCCACATAGAGAAGGGACCAAGAACAAGCCCACAGAGCAGAGATCGGAGCAAAGAGGGTTCCACGATGAGTAGGGTGGAGGAAGACTTTGTCTTAGCAGCTGCCTCAACATTTAAATTCTGCAATATCAATAATATATTTTATAGTTCACTTATTAGATTTTTAGTTTATAGAATGACTGTAATGTGGTGCCTAAACCAAATAGCCATTTGAGAATTTATTTTTGTTGTGATTTAATAGTTTTGCCTATGATGATTTCAGTGATGTTGATCTGGCCTGAGTTGCATTTTAATAAGATCGTATCAAGAGGAAGCAAGACAACATGTTAATCAATCATAAAATAAAGCTATAAAATTTCCCAGAATATGCAGTATAACATACCATACTTTATCTGTTCTAGATGCAAAATAGTTAATCCTGTATTCAAATGTTGTCCTTAACACACAAGTTCCCCCCCAAAAGAAGAAACAAAACACTCCTCCATAGAGTTTAGACATGCTATGTTTCTGGAATCAATAATTTACTCTATATATACTATGTAAAATGGCATAACACGTACCTTAGCCCCCATAGATAGTCTAGGATGGGAAAGTTGCAATCCATCTACGTTGGACACAATGTATTGAACCTGGCACATTCATACATTGCTGATGGCAATGCTCAAAATTACAAGGATTCTGGTCACAGGTACAATCTCTAATTTCACAGGTCTTGGCCAAACCATTCCCAGCAGACCCTTTGGCCTTGTTGCTTTCTAAACCCTTGGAATCCCTCACAAGGAATGAAAATAAGTTAGTGGCCTGAACTTTAGTCAGATAGCTCAGTGACCACCGTGAAATGTAAAATTAGAGAAGCCTTTGAAATGGACAAACTGACTGCCCAAATACATGACACCCCTAAAGTAGTCCACAAAAAATGGGACTCATGGATTCTTAGCAGACTTTAATTCCTTAGTGCCTAGACTTGCTACAAAGAGTACCCATACACCTACTGTAAGATCTTCCATAAGGCTGGCCCTAGGACATATTAAGAGGAGACCACCTCACAACCTTCCTCTCCCAAACACCCTTTTCCCTCCCTCCATTCCCTTTTATCCTTCCTATCCCTCTACCACAATCCCTCATCATCTCTCTGTTCTTATCATCGTTACCTCTTTATCAAAACTATTACTAGTCTACAACAACACAGTAAATAAATTCTTTACCTAATTCATTTTCCTCCCCTTATAAGGATGATAACAGACTTGAAATGGTAGACGTACATAAGACTTTTACCGAATGCTAGGATTTTTACATTCCCGGTACACCATTTACTGTCCCTACTGCAAGATCGTTCCTCTACTTTCCCACAGTTCTCATCCTGCCTTGACAATACTTTGATTGACTAGCAAAATCTTCCCTACTTACAAAACTCTCCTCCATGCTGAAGGAAGACTCCTCATGGAGTACTTACGAACCAACAGCTACTCACCATGCATGATCCACAAAGCAGAATGTCTGCATAACCTGAGTATATGAAACTGTTAGATATTAAACCCGCTCCTAACCTGTAATTCTGTCCACATAGCAATGACACTATTGCAATTATTGTACATGAACGGATTCTGTACAGTCCACTATGGTGAAAACGATAAGTACTATTACCTGGTGGTTGTGGAGTGTACTTCTTGACAAATGCCTGTAAAGTCCCTTCTGAATGCTCTGAACATTGTATTGCATTGTTGAGAAACTGCATTGTTTTAAACTTTAACATTCCTTTTTGCTGTGTTAACCTTTATTCACTATAAAATACGAATAAATGAAGAATGTAAAAAAAATTATGCTATAACATGGAAAATAGGCTTTAATTACCAAGATCAAATAATTGCAGCAGAACACATTGTGTATTTACAAAGAGAAATTGGAACACATACAGGAATGAGAAATAGCTGTAGGTTATATTACATGCAATACTGAATGTAGTCACACAATGGAGCCAGAGAGTTAAACTGGGAACAGGATACCAGTGAGTCATGTGAAAACAGCTAATTAAGGGGTTCTTACAAGATAATTATTATAAAAAAAATTGTACACAGAACACTTACAGCCACATTACATATACTTCATATACCGAAACTACATACAATTATATCCATGTAGCCTATTGCGGCAGGCAATTAACCTATTCATAACCCTCTAGCACCTTTTGGGGTGGGGGAGAGGGATTTCAGTTTTATGTCAAACCTACAGATGTTTTTGCAAGATAACTCAGAGCATTTGAGATGGTTAGAACCCTGAAACTGTAAAGCCTTGTCATTTTAGTAGTCATCTTTTGACATTGTGATAGACTAGCAGAGGACATATAGAAGGCACTTAGCAGCTTTTAGGAAAATTGTAGTAGAATACACAAAAAGAATGCCTGCAGCCAACTCAGTCAGCATTAGAGAAATGTTTATTTTTTTCTGTTCTTTTGGCAAATTAAGGCGATTGCTATAGGCTTGTATAAACTATATGGACAAAAGTATTGCGACAAAGCTCTTAATTGTTGAATTCAGGTGTTTCAAACCTATTGTCACAGGTGTATAAAATCAAGCACAAGCCATGCAGTCTGCATTTATTTGTATTATTATTATTATTGGCATTGGCATTTTTATATAGCGCCAACAAATTCCCGGAGGGGGAGATTTAACAATAAATTAGATAATTACAAAACTAAGAGGAAATATAGGTTGAAGAGGATCTTGCTCAAATTAGCTTACATAGAGGAGGTGGGGTGTAAAACACAACAGAACAGGCGATAGGAATCAGAAAGGTGGGATTGAGTCAAAGCTTGAAAGGAGATAGTAGAGTGCTGCCCTTTAGGAGAGAGCAAGAGACAGGTATGTGAGGCAGAGGTAACTCTGGGAGGCCATAAGCTTTCCTGAAGAGATGGGTTTTAAGGCACTTTTGAAATGATTGAAGACTAGGAGAGAGTCTGATGGTGGTAGGCATGCTATTCCAAAGGAAGGGAGCAGCCCGCGAGAAGTCCTGCAAGTGTGAGTTGGCCGTACCGGTGAGAGCAGCGGACAGGAGAATGTCATGGGCAGAGCGGAGAGACCAAGAAGGGGTATGCTTATGGATTAGTGAAGAGATATAAGAGGGGCTAGAATTGTTCAGTACTATATAGGTATGGATTAATACTTTGAATTGACTCCTATAGGATACAGGAAGCCAATGTAAAGACTGACAGAAGGGTGAGGTGTGCGAGAAGTGACTGGAGAGGAAAATCCATCTGGCGGCAGCATTTATTACAGACTGTAGCAGGGCAATATTGATTCTGGGAAGACAATTAGGAGAGGGCTACAATTATCCATGCAAGAGATTAATAGAGCATGGACAAGCTCCTTAGTAGGGGCAGATGCGTCACTGTTTGTAAGGTGGAAGGTGGAATCAACAGAATTTGGTGACAGACTGGATGTGAGGCTCAAAGGTCAGAGTCAAGTATAAAACCAAGACAGTATGCTTGCAAAGATGGGCTGATGTATGTACCACTAACTTGAAAGGAGAGTGAAAGAGGAGGATCAGTATTAGGAGGAGGAAAGACAAGGAGTTTCAGATTGAGTTTCAGAAAGCAGGAGGGCATCCAGTCAGAGATGGAAGAAAGGCAATTGGTGACACATTGTAGGACAGCAGGGGATAGGTCATGGGAGGATATCTGGGTGTCATCAGCGTACAGGTGGTAGCGGAATCCAAACAAATTAATGAGTTTGCCAAGAGAGGCAGTGTAGAGAGAGAACAAAAGGGGACTAAGAACCAAACCTTGAGGGACTACGACTGAGACAGGATGAGGGGAGGAGGTGTGATTGGAAAAGGAAACACTGAATGAATGTTGGGAGAGATAGGAGGAAAACCAAGACAGGGCTGTGTCACAGAGATCAAGAGTTTGGAGAAGGAGTCTATGATAAACAGTGCCAAAGGCAGCAGAGAGATCAAGAAGATTTAGTAAGGAGTAACGGCCTTTAGATTTAGCTACAATTAGATTATTTGTAACTTTAATCAGAGTGGTCTCCATGGAGGTGAAGGAGCGGAATCCAGACTGAAGAAGGTCGAGGAGAGAGTTGGAATTGTGGAGGCAAGTCAGATGGGTAAATACAAGTTTTTCCAGAAGCTTTGAGGAAAAAGGGAGTAGGTATTTGGGATGATAGTTGGAAGGGTAAGCTCAGTCAAGAGATGGCTTTTTTAGGACGTCTACAGCATGTCAGGGTTATAGTTGATCCAGCACGGAGAATAGTATCACACCTAGGACTAAGGATAACGTCTAACTGGACCTTAGGATGGCCGGACTTAACGTAGCTGAGAATAGTCAAAATACTCGCCAAGGTCAGGGACACAGAAAGGGACACAACGATGAGGAAAGCCAGAAGTCAAGGAAACCAGAATTTAGGGAAGCCAAAATGAAGCCAAAGTCAAAAAAACATGAAAATGCAATCAGGAACACACTCTCAGATAACCAGCTAGTGGAAACCACAACAGGGCACTGACAGAAAGGTAATTTGGGTTTAAATAACCCTCCTTAGGCTGTAATTGGCTGTCTCTAACCTCTAACCCCAAAACGTGCGTGCACGTCATCTTTGATGTGGGCGGAGGTAAGTCTCCTTATTAACACCGGAACCACAGCGGCTGGCATCTCTAGGGACACAGTACTCACTGGGGACCAGAATAGGAGGAGGTATGAGATTTTTCAGTCAGCGTGGCCGCTATGTTTCAGTGCGGGCACGCCGGCAGAATCGCAGGGAGCCGTGACACAACAGTGGC